TATTATACACTTTGATGGTTCTGTAATGGTATTCTGGGTCGCTGATGTATCGGTGAGCAGCAGTTTAAGGGTGGTTCGTACGTCAGAGTGCCGCAGCTGTATTATTCCACGGAAACTCCATCCATGAGATATATTAGGTGAGTACGCTAATCAGTATCGGAACGACAGACACGTAAAAACAAGAGCTGTTGGGACAGACAGTGTCCTTCCTTAGACCAATAAAATGTGTTTTAAGTGGGATTTAATATGCTGAAAACAGCCATGAATAAAGAATTAGTATTTTTAACGCGTGGCGCACGACGAGAATGAATTTGAAGACACTTCGGTTTTTGATTAGTCCGTTTATATGATATTCAATTCGCATAATTCAATAACATTAAGACAAAAATTAAATACGGGATTCAAATCAGCTGAATTAATCGAACTGGAGTTAATTCACTTGTACGAATGAGGATTTTACTTTGCGTTTTAAAGGTGGGAGAATAAAAATTTATCATTCAAAGTATGGATTAATATGTAAATGTAGTCAGTGTTTACCATTATTACTTTAATCAGAACAAATTTTCCTACTCAGTTTCGGCGGAAATATTTGTCACATCATCCGAAACATGTTTAAGAGACAAACTCCGAACTACGGTCTGGGCTTGTTTCTTTTTAAATTCAATCGTAAATTGTCCCTTTACTCTTACAAACTACGTTTTACTTTACAGGCAAGACTGTGATGGGAGAATTCCAGCGCAGTCGCAGTAAGGTGTGGTGGTCAAACTACGCAGAAGTAGATACTGAGGACGACCGAAACGTGGGTTGGGGAGGGGCAGGCCCCGTGCTTAGTCCTTCTCGTGGCTCCTCTAGCAGTCCCAGCAGTAGCCACAAAAGTCAGGACTCTGGCTTCTCCGACTCTGAGGCATCATCAACGACAGGCGGTGCTGGACATTCTTTCAAGCCTTCGCCGGCTTCCAGTCAGGAACCGGACCGCAATGCGTCCCCTGTTCAGGATCCTCAGGAAGTGACCGGACGTAATCAGGACTGTCAGTGTCCTCAAACTGGAAAAATTGTCTCTGGAGAAACAAGTAGCGTCCGGCATAATTCCCCAGTCAGCAAACAGAAAGGGCAGTTGTTTTCACAGTGTTCATGTCTTGGTCAAACATCACAGAATGACATTGACGGAAGTACGACAGAAAACGCTGAAAGACAAATAGACATTAACCCAGAATTGACCCACAGGATTGTGCAGTGTCCTACGCAGTTACCAGTAACGAAACTGAGAGAAAAATTTCTTCGGGATTGCATATGTCTGAACCAAACACCTGAAAACGACTGTGTTCCAGAGTGTCCTGACAGGTCAGGCAGTGACAAACCTGCATCGCCACTGCAAACAGAGAAACAAACGCGGCAGGAAATCTCTCAGCAGTCGGGTGAGGAATGTACGAGAGCAGAGACTGACGACGTTATTGGAGAACAACAAGAGCACAGGGAGACGATTATCCCACAGGAGTGCGTGAATTCTGAAGAACGTTCCTTACAAACTCGACCACAAAATACTCTTAACCGCGCCGTTCCTGTGCCAGCTGTACGGAGATCCCAACGCAGCCACAAAGAATCTCTAAGTAAGTCTGTTCGGGAAAGTCCCATCGCTTCACCGAGGAGTCTAAAAAACGAGTACATAAGTCATTCTCAGTGTAACACAAACAGTTTGTCGCTACATAAGCCATCGGAAGAAGGTTCAGACCATCTCCACTCACCATCCAAACAAATTAACAAACCACTAGATCTTTCAGTCCAACTTCTATCTAGCCAAGGCCGTTCTCGTCAACAAGGATCATCACTGGAGGATATTTCGTCAAGCCCATCGTCGGCCGATCAACGTAACGTTTCTTCTCCAAGGCCTCCTTCTGATCCTGAAGAATCTCCATCAGGAAAGCCTCTGTGTTCGGAATTGCCGGAACAGCTTGGTTCTCCAGCTCACACATCGACCCCTAAACTGCTCGTAACACCTAATCGACCTCTTCGCTGTTCGGGCTCAGGCAAAAAGCACTGTCGTCCTGTGAACCTGCTCAACAATTTCACCAGGTAGGAAGAAATTTAATTTGTTTATAGGAATCCTTTAATTTGCAGCTTTGTAATCTCACGACTGTCAGTGCAGCAAAATAACTGTTGTAGAATCCACATAAGAAATTCCGTGAAACATGTGATGTACGTAACTTCCTCCTTATTTACTACAGGCTAGTTATAATGTTGCATTAAAAGTTTCTTGTGATATTGTTTAAACAATCCATACTATACGCGATCTCACCAAAAATTTTGTAATGTAAAATCCATAATAGGTAGCCAAGAAATATACAACTCTGAATAACTTTCAATGAAATACGAGCGCCATTTAAACCGCCTTACCAGTTGGAATTTATATCGTGTTTAAATTTGTACTAAATTTCGCGTGAATTGAAATCACATTCGAAATACATTTATTACATTTACGACTCGAGACAGGCCTGCAAAAATGCAGATGCTTAAAGTTTGATATTCGCAGCTTCATATTGCAAGTTCAAATTCTCTGGCTTGTATTATTTTTATTGTGATCAATTTTGGAGGACACGTGCTTAGTGCGAAAGACTATTCTGGATGGATATGAACTCATAGCAACGGCACATTTCCGAGGTGGAGAATCAAACTCCACAGCCTCACTGTTCTGTTACGTAACGATCGGTCATCGAGAAATAAATTCAGCAGCTACGCTGCAATGACCCCATGTTAACTGGGCCCCTTCTTAGCATGACGTGACATGTCCTCTGGTAGCAGATGGAGGAGACGACCTCCAGATACGAAGGACAGCTTTTGAAATCCATCCATTTAATGACATTGAGTCTGAATAGCATCTTAATCGACCACGGCCAAAATAATGTTAACATCAGCGACTGATCTGTTTTGTGTCTTGTCGGAATCGGACAACGCGTCTGATTTTCAAAGCGTCAACATTTGATGCTTCATACTAATTGTTTGTACTGTCAAAGCAATGAAATAAAAGTAAAATTGAGTAACACTGACCAGTCTGTAGCAAATTAAGGGCGGGAAAATGATACAGTTGTCATGCCTTTACAATGGCACTTCTGCTCTTCACATAACCTTGGTCCAATGCATGGAGAGACAATGAGGACGATGAGTAAGCGCGGCCCGCATAGAATTGTCGTCTCCTCTCCAGCGCGATGCTATCGACACTTGATAGCTGCGTGCATTCTTTCTGCGACATGCGGTGCATAATGAATACACACTACGTGTCATTTGTTAAACTGTCCCCTAGCAAAGGGGACAAAACGGAACAGCGGCGTGTCACTTCGAGAGGATTCCCAACATCAGGGCCTAACGAGAATGCGAAGATTATCTGCGATTATGCATGCCTCACGTGAACCGATCATTTATTGCAAGTGCAAATCTACGGCTGCAAATTAATTGCACTACACAGATTAAAATAACACTGGTGCGCGGTAGTGAAGCCACGTAAATTCTTACCTACGAGTCTGCATTTTTGGTAGTGCCACAAATAATACAGCAGTTCCCAGTGTCGATGTAACGAGTTTTTACAAAGACCCAACGAGGATGAAATGAAAATGCATTTTTGAAATCGAAAAAACCTTATAATTTCATACCAGTACAAAATGTATTTACATTAACAAACGCAAAAATTACAGAGAAGTATTAAAACATCTAAAATTTATACAACGGATTAGAAAGTCTGCAAATATGTTCTTGAGATATTCGAAAATAGTTTGGACGCATGGTACCGACGCTCAAGCGGTGGGTGCCTTGGGCAGCTGCCCACCTTTCCCATTGGTTGGAGCTGCCCTGGCCACCGTGTTTGTATTTGGCTTCATTATGCCAGACTATACGTTACGTGATGTAAGAAAAGCAGGACGAAACTGTAAAGTTATCTTACATCGGCTGGCCTTTACACAGGGGCAACAATGACATGAAAGAGTCTGACTCTCCAAATGCTGCAGTGACAGGCAGACATATCGGAACCCGGGACTGATGGAACATGAGACCAGTAGCGAGTCTTTGTGATACAAGATAAGATGACTTATGATGTCAATTTGCTTCTCCATGTCTCAGTGGCGGTCACTGTTTTTCTTTTATCTTATTCAACCTGGTCCATCCAGTGAGGGATAAATAGCTTCGATCCAAAAAAGAGAACCAACTTTATATATAGTGCCTGCAACAATGGCGAGCCTTTGTTAAAATTTTTCTAGAGGGCGTTGACACTTTATACTATGAAACGGAAGATAAATAAAACTATGTTGAGTGAGTACACTGTAGTATGTCCATTGGATGAGGCAGCTTACAATAAGCATATCTCGTGTCTCGTTACAATTATTTATTTATGGTACACCCTTATTAGTAGGCATGCCACAGATAGGTTATTAGTATAAAACGCAGAAATACATATCGGTTAAAATGTAATCGTGATGAAACATGTTCCAGAAGGAACAAGAGATACCTATGGACATATTCTGAACAAACATCATCCTGAGAAAATGTTCGGTTATGCGTTCGCTGCCCGAAATGCACAAACATACACTGTGGCGAGGCGTGTCTGTCTGTCCATCAACACGATCAATCACAAACTATTTAAAGGATTTCAGTGTTTCGTACGTAACTATAAAATATAGACCTCAACAAAATAACTAACGCCATGAAGAAGAGTTCTTCTTGAGAAGCTAATAGTCGCTCAGTTTGTCAAGAACTTCGTTTTATGGGACCCAAAATTTCATAACCTTGTTCACAAGAGCCGGCAACTGGCCGCACCCTATTCCTTTCAGATCCATTTTAATAATATCCTATAGTCTAAGCCAAACACTTCCAACTGGTCTCTTCCCTTCAGATTTTCTGACCAGAACTTTATATGTATTTCTTAACTCTCCCATCCCTGATTTGATCATCATAATAACATTTGGTGAAGAGTAGGCCTGAAAATTATTAATCTTTACGAAAGTTAGTTTTCTATAGCGTCATGTTACCTCTGAAACGTCTGTAAACTTCTACCAGACTACACGGCGCAACAACCCAGAAGACAGCCATCGTCACAGCTTGCTATGTTGAAGTACACATTTCCATTCTTGCTTTTGTTAGACTTGTAAATTTATAGAACGTGTTATGGACGCAAGGGATCCAAATAACTGAAATTTTCATTTACAAAATCTTTCTCAGATTTCGTTGTATTACGGTTGCTGATCATTTTGCTACGTCTAAGGATCACATCCCATTGCTGCTTGGCCTGAGTTCAGTCACCTCCGGTAAATGCTAAGAAAGTATATATACCCTACCTTGAAATACACCATGAAGACTTTCTTCCTAAACATAATAAACTGTAACTTCTTTGTTATAACGTTTTCTGCCGCAATTGCCACCAACCTCGCAGCAAAAGAATGTGACGTTAAACAGAACAAGATGAAAATGAGATTCACAATTAACTTGAACCATTATACCAGGGTCATTATCCACATAACAGTGAATCAGTAAAAAGTACACAGCCGAGAAAGGCAGCTTCTGATTTGGATCACTTTTTCGTAGTCAGAAGTCCACGACTTAATCCAGAGATATGTTTGAAAACTGGCTTTATTTCATACATTATCCAACTCAGTTAGGCGAAGTGCCTTATAATGATCATCACTTCTAAATTCCTTATAAAGATCATCACTTCTAAATTCCTTATAAATACTCTTATGCCTCTGTTTACCATGTAACACTATTGCAAGTGAACCCATTCAGCAAAAATACAAGGTTATACTCAGATACACACATAAATATGTCTCCGTATGCACGTTTCGAACTTCCAAATCCGGGCAAGTAAAATGCATTAGAAATTTGTTTCCGTTCCGTTAGGCCCAAAGCAGTAAGTCTGTTTATACATTTCTAGGTTATGATACTAGCAAGTAATCCCGAGCTTGTGATCGTAACAGAGTACAACTTACGGATGGTCAGATGAATATGATGCTTTACCACCGCGTACATTCCAATGGGGCGAGTAAAAAGTGCTGACTTCGCGTTTCGTACTGCAATTCCGTAAAGGATACTAAGTTTGTACCCCTTTCTAGCACATTCATGGATATCGCAATTTCTATAATACAAGCAACAGGAAATGAGAAAACGTTGAATAGCTGTGAATTGCCATATGGGCTGTTCTGCCGTTTAGTCTCGCGTGTGGTTGCTAACATTTCAAAGGAATATCGCTTCTATCTTAAGTTATACTCTGAAGATGGAGGATATACGTTCATCCGAAATTATAGTTACCAGGTTCATGGAATTACAGCACAGAAGGCTTGTCAGCATTTTCACCGCCTTAAAACTTTTATATAGCTGAATGCTAAAAAAATTTCATTAGATTTCGTCGCCGTACAGACAAAATCAAGCAGTTTTTCATAACTTCACAACCTGGATGATCGGTAAATTTATAAAGCTACCTACTACGTGATTTTCTCCATTGTCTGTACCTTTGGTGTTCTGTAAGAAGGGCTTAAGTACTGAGCAACAAAAATATATTTTATTTAACACTCTATTTTCAAATACTGTCAATCTTATTTTTTCTACACTGAGAATAAACCAAGACTCATGTCGAAGATACAAATCTGATCATAACAAATTTCTTTACATTTTTATTGTGAAGCATAAGAAAGCCTACTGACTGCATGTGAAACTGTTGAACTATGACTGGAATTTCCACTACCTACAGGCACTTAAAACCTCCTTCACTGCTAGAAGTATGAATTTTATTCTTGAAATGTCCAAGTCACTGAAGTAGGAAGGAAATTTATTTTGCAGTACAAATGAAAGGAAAGTTACTGTGTATTGACTAAATGTATGTGCGTTGATATATATTATTTTAATGTGCTTTTAATTCTAAATTATATATACAATGGAGATTTATCAAAACTATTAACAAGATGGCTGTCTTCTGGGTTGCAAACTTTCTACCAGACTACACAGCGCTACAACCGAGAAGACAGCCATCGTCATACTCACTGCTGTGAGAACCTCAAATCCTACTTATAACAGTTTATAAGTTTTCCATAATCTTATATGTCCGTCACCATATGTAACATGAAACCCACAACATAAAGTTTTTAATATCATATGACCATTAATTTCTCAGTGTTTTTAATTAGAAAAAGCTGGTACTTGCCTATGTTAACACAACCAGCCTGTTACAAAATACATCTAATCAAAATTTCAGAATGAGGTACTATATATATATATATATATATATTTGAATAAAAGTATTTTATTACTTCAGGTGTCAAATTGACAAAAATTTACAGACAGTTAATGTGCGGAAGATAGACATGATGATTTTCTCCTCCTACTTCTTCACTTATGAGCCGGGATAGCTCAGTCAGTATAGTGACTAGCTATGGGCTGGGCGACCGGGGTTCGATCCCCGACGGGGGCAGAGAATTTTTCCTCTAGCCTCTGCGTCCAGACCGACTCTGGGGCCCACCCAGCCTCCTCTACAATGGGTACCGGGGTCCTTTCCCGGGGGTAAAGCCGGCCGGGGCGTGATGCCGACCACTCACCCCATCTAGTGCCGAGGTCAAGAAAGGGTAGGAGCTATACCTCCACTCACCCCAAGCGCCTATACGGCACGTAGCAGGACAAACTTTACTATACTTCTACTTCTTTACTTACATAAAACAGATGACAGAATGACTTGGAGGCGTGTAAAGGAAACATAACCTTATATTTACAGTGGCTCGAAGCCTGATGGTGCCAGTTCTGAGAGGAATCCTGTGCAGCGGTGGTTAGGAGAGCTAGCAACTCTGTGTGAGCCAGAGTGCATGACTACGCTGCAGAGCAAGTCATTAGCCGTGGACTTGAGCCATCAGGTTGCTATGATGGCTGCTGCCACAACAGACACCGTCAAGATGTTGCAGGAAGGCACCAAACTCATCTCTACAGAGTTTGCAAAGTTATGCCAGTGAGTAATTATGACGCCTAAAATGTTTTTGTTTTTTTTAACACAAGGAAAATGCTGGCCATGAGACTCATGAATTCGAGAAGGAAAGGAAAATTTCTTTTGTGCACGGCCATAAAAAAGGATGTAATAACTTCAAATTCCTATATAAATAAATGTAGGCATTTAAACTATTGTTTATTTAAGACACAATTTAATTTTTTGTGAAGGCTAACAGTTATTGTAGCTTCTCCAGACTTTTTTAATTTCAACAAATCTAGCGGACGGACTACAAATCTAGACGGTTAGCAAGCAGTGAAAGTGAAAGAACATGTTTTTTAATTATTGCTGTGTCATCACAATTTGATATCTGAAATGGTGTGACAAGCAGAAACAAGTAACACAAGATTATTTGATGCCCTAGGCATAAATGAAAATACTGGAACAGTTTCCAGAATGTTCCAGAAGGATGGTTTTGAATCTTCTTGGAAACAAGCAAGATGACATCTTTCAACTCTTCAAGCACTTGAAAAACATTCAAATCTTTGAATCAGTATTAAACTGCCAGTCTTCGCATCAATATGGAGTGAAGTGTAGGCTTGTTAATAAAATTCCAGGGCTGCTTTATTTGGTACTGTTGCCCTTATGAGACCTAACATATTCTGTGTGTCTGTCTTCTGGGTTGTTGCGCTGTGTAGTCTGGTCGATGTTTACCAACGTTTCAGAGGTCATACTGCCTCCGTCATCAGGGCGATTCTTTCTAAGTTATCTACGCTATGAAGATTTCTGTCTTCTGGGTTGTTGCACTGTGTAGTCTGGTCGATGTTTATCAACGTTTCAGAGGTCTTACTGCCTCCGTCATCAGGGCGATGAATATGCATGACCTCCGAAACGTTGGTTAACATCGACCAGACTACACAGCGCAACAACCCAGAAGATAGAAATCTTCATACTCACCACTGTGAAAACCTCAAATCTTACATTGTTATAGACAATATCAGTCCTGTTTCATTTTGATTAAAATCTCAACTTCAGTAAATTTGTAAATCTATTTCATAGGCACCATTACTTACTCAGTTTTTCTTCTTTATACATCCAAAAGTAACAAACACTAAATCTTTCAGGCAGTTGGATTATGGCAAGATGGAGCATGTTGGTCCTTTAGTGCAAAGTCTGGTAGGGCTTGTAACAGAATTTATACATGAGCATTGCAACAAGCAGGAAGAAACTAGAAAACGGTCACAAACGGAGCAAGAAACACTGACAGAGGTGTGTGACCGACTACGCATCACAGCAGCCAGACACCCTCCCAATAAGGAAGAGCTGACTTCTGAGATTACAGAATTAGGGAATAATTTCACAAACATTGTGGACAACATACTCACTCATCACATTTCTGTGAGTACCCATTCAGTACTGATAGATGAATGTATTATTACTGCATATATCAAAAGCAAATGAAACTTAATTTAATACATGGGAAATATTGTTACTGAGCCAGCCCGGTAGCACATAACATAATGTGCAACGATAAATCTGGAAACTATAACGCTGCAGGTTCGAATGGAAACGCTAGATGTCTTCTCACCATATAACAATTTCATGTTACTTTTGACTGAGAAAACGTTCATGGAATACTGCAGTGTTAATTTCTAGTCATTTTGTATAAAGGAATTCCCTTCTTAACACACACTCATTGCACTGTTGTGCATAGAGGCTGCTTTAGAATTATACATTTGAAGTCCTATTATAGACCTCTGCATTCTTTATGCCTTCAATAGTAAGACACTAAGTTAAAACTAGTCTTGGCTATTTTATAAAAAAGTGTTAGGTACCAGATCACAGAAAATAAATAAGTCAAATAAATTTGATTATAGGGTGGAACATTTCAGCTGAAATAATGACAAACTTAATTTAACTAGGTATTAGTGGAAGTGCTGGAAGAACCTACTTCAGACATGGCACTACGCTCAGCACTGTCTAGCCTGACTGCATTTGGTCTCGAAGGTCCTCATTTGAGTCGCCTGGTTGCTCACTGCAGCGGAGTCCGTGCTTTGCTGTCCATCTGTCTTGAATCACGTTCAAGTACCATCCGAACAGCAGCCCTCCGTGCACTTGCAACAGTGTGTTGTGTAGCTGAGGCCATCCGTCAGTTGGAACAGGTAACAGTATATAATATGGTGAAATATTTCAGTTCAGACTTGTGGTGGCTCCAACTTCAGGGCTGAAGATGCAAGTTGCTGATCAACATTAATGTGGATGAGCAGATAATCATCCTAAAACATCATATCCTGATGAAGGTCATGGAAGCTGCCCCTGAAACATCAATTTTTAACCAACTGACATGGCTGATAATCTGAAAAGATTTTATTAATGTTAGTTGCTGTGAAAACTTAAAATTATACATGAAATCATCAAGAATATATGTACAAATAAAGACTTGTCATGTTGCAGCATTTCATTGTCACATAATTTTCTCCTCCTGTATGATGAAAAATATGAAATATAGTTCAATACTTCTTGATAACAAACTTACAATATGAAGTAAATAACAAAAATTCTATACTCTTAACAAAAACTATATACAACAAATTGCCCAAGTTCAGTGTATAAGCACTTATGCACCAGTCTTATAATGTATGTTCGTGATTAAACAAATTATTATCAATTACAACTTCAAATTTTGAGAATTTTAATCAATATTTACTTCCTTCAAAATCCAAAACAACACTTGTATACCACATGAGATTTTATACTTATTGCAGGCAGGTGGGGTAGAGATTCTATCTGAAATGCTCTCTGAAGAAGCACGCCCTGAACCTGAGGTTTCAGAAGCAGCAGCTGTGCTTGCCCAAATCACAGCACCGTGGGTGGAAGACAATCATACTGTGCATGGCTTATCTGAACAGCTGTCATCTTTAGTCCACTCCCTCACACGTAAGTCATGGGTTCTCATATGAAATTCAGGACACTAAATTAATGCCTGTAGTTTTATTTCACCTTAACAAACAACATAATTGATACAATATTCTTCAGTCTTAAATTCTGGGACTTGTACAGATCACATATTTTTAATTGTACTAGTTTGATTCTTCTGAGAAATTACAGGTGAGGATTCCAAACAAAATAACATAATTAGTTTCATATTTTTAAATATTTGAAGAAAACAGTAAAAATCACATTTTAACACTCACATTTGTTATTTAAATGTGCATTTTTTAAAAAATAACGTAATATAAAGATACAAATTACTGTGTTCAAACATTTGCAAAATGTACTGGTAAACATTTCTGCTTTGCATTTCAAAGGTCCCTAGTTCCTATCTCAGATTGGAGATAGCTGTCTTGGCTGATGATGTTCATTGTTTCTCAAAACAGGTCACATTCTCTTTCCTCTAAATCCTTCTTTCTTAACCTTTATATTACTAGCGTTCCCAGTCTGGCACGTAATTTGTGTACTCAGCCCTATGAACGTTCCCGAAGTGGAACTCTAAACTTGCAACATTGTAAGTAGACTTGACTTCGTCTTTTGGCCTCTTTTAGAGGCTGCAAATATCGAATCACTTTCTCTAGGGTTCTTACAAGTTCAACCTGAGCTGTCGACCCAGGAAATATAACCATAAACAGCAATAAACATTGTTATTGTCAAGTGGGTTTCGGCTTCATTTTCAGACCCCCTAATCATAGCTACTCAAATTCCTCAGCATGATGAGTGAAAAGAATGTGTATCCACTGAAGTAGGGGAAACAAATATTTCTGTGTGATCATTAGTTCATAACCATGGCTTCTACCATGTCGAATGAGCTTCCAAAGAAGAAAGTAAAGTTACTAATGCCTATTTAGGCAATTAAGATATTACCCTCTATGTATTCTCTGTTCTATTCGAGTAAATATGACTTTTATTTCGTCAATTTATCATGTTTACTTCAGATAATATTAAAGTTTTTCGTAGAGCGTGCACAAAAGTTTAAAAACCTGCAAAAAAAAACTCCGTAGGGCTGCTACCACTTTGCCATTTAAATCCCCGTTGTTTAAAGGTTAACTGTTCACAATTATCCTGTCATTCTTCTGACACTGCATAATCTTTAACTTCACACCATTCCATGAAACAAAACACAAACAGAAATAACTGGTTCAAAGCAATCACTTTCCTCCTACTGGCAAATAAATGGCAACTTCTGTGGTACATTGTTCCTGTAATGTGTGTATAATATAAAAATCAGTTGTGGAATTTTATAATCAGCCCTTATATTGCTGTAACTGTGTAATTCCAGGTCTAGCCAGTACTACTGCATCTTGTGAGACATTGCTCCTTTCAGCAGCTGCACTTGCGAACCTAACATTCATGGAACCACGAACTGTATGGCCATTACTAGAACAAGGAACAGCTGGAAAGCTGCTTCAGGCTGTGAAGAGACAAGGACCAAAAGTGTCCGTATTCCTGCAAGAGCAGGCTGCCACTCTTATTGCCAACATGGCTGCAGTACCTGAGAGTAGACCACACCTTGCTGAACAACGAGCCGTTGTGGCCCTGCTCTGCTTCCTACAAATACGACATTCCCCTCTCCAGAGAGCTCCAGAGATAGCAGCGGCAGAAAGAGTGCAGCAGAAATCTGCCATTGCTCTCTCAAGGCAAGTTTATACAGTGATGTATATGTCTTTGTGCCTGTGCATATATGTATTTCTGGTTTATTTATTAGTGTGTTCAATTAGCATTAAATGATAGCACGATTAGTAAATTCTGAATTGGAAAGGATGTGGAAGTTAGTGGTCAGGGCCTGATTTAAGGCACTATGGCTGGCAGAGACTGAGGAAAAATCATGGAAAACCTCAGTAAAGATAGTACTATGTCAAATTCAGGACTTCTCAAACATGAAACAACACTTCTAAACACCTGACTGCAACATTCAGAAGATTTTTAGTTGTACAAAGTATTAATCAGTTCTTTAAATTAATATGACAAAAAGACAATTAATTTTATTAAGTAATTTAGAATGAGGACTGCATTTGGTAGGAAATGGATTATATACAATTCTCACATACACTAATATGTTTATTCTATGCAAAACTGCTGAAGGAGATGCTTTTCCATTGTCATTGAACATTTCTTGACATTTGTATGTAGCCTGTACAGAAATACATGCTCAAAATCTGAGTCATCTTTATGCTGTTATCCAAATATAACATCATGCATCACACCACTACATTATGGTCAATTTCCAAATAACTACTAATCTCTGTACTGCATTCTCTCAGACTTCAAGAACTGAACTTATTCTTCATCCCCTACTTAGCAAACCCTCTCTTCTACATTAGTGATACACTGCTCAGACAATGATCCACTGGTTTGACTACTATTGTATTGCAGGTTATGCAGTGACCCAGTAGTGGCAGCACAGGTGGTAGAGCTACAGGGAGTCAATCGACTAGTAAGGCTCTGCAAAGAGGAGAGGGAGAGAAACCACAGTGATGGAGTCCTAGTGGCATGTCTGGTATGCATATTACACCCAGAAATTTATTTGAAATAAGTGTATTTTTCAAAATTTGCATAAGGTGTTTAATGTTATTATTTCAAAGGTTTCTTAACCCTGTCACGTTCTTTCCAGGCTGCTCTCAGGAAAATATCGGCCAATTGTGGCACCAAAGTGATTGAGGATCTTGATGCTATGGAACTGGTTGAACCACGCCTGCTGGATTCATTTCTCATATATTCATCTCGACAAGAAAGCTATGTGTGAATAACGTCATGAATGCCTCATGGAACATGTGCATCACTGTCGGATAAAATTATTATTGTATCACAATGAAAACATACCAGATAATTGGCTCTGTATATACATATATAAATTTCATAATTATGTACATACTTTTACAGTTATATGTGCAAAAATATATATATTTTAATACACGATTATTTTGTGTTACTGTGTTATACCTGTGCAGGAAGATTTAACATCTCCATCAAGATTGTTGCATTCTTCATTAATGTGGCAGGCATCATTTCTTGGGCATAACATAATGCTGGTATGCAATCAATTACAGACACTCCGTACAGGCTTTTCTGTCATTAGTGAGAGGATGTTTATAAGCTGTTCTGGAGTAGCAATGATACTGCCTAAACATACACAAGTTAAATCACTATGTATTAAAATAAACCTCTAAACTTGCCATTTCATCAAAGTACTTTTATTCTGAGTTATGTTCATATTTTGAAAGTAAGGAATGATTTTTCTGGAGGTGAATATACAAATATGGGACCTGCATTATTAATACATTGTTTCCCACTAATTTAAACACTATTCTCCTATCATATAATATTAAAAAATATTCTTATTTCAATTGAGCAATTATTTCTTCTACATACTTGAAATAAGTACTGTCCACCATTTCTCTGATGTGCAAAAATTAAAATTATGTAAATACCAAGGCTACAACACAGCTACCCTCCAGTTTTACAATCTGATGACGTCTTTGTGTTCTAACCACACCAGCCATCCCCCAACCATTGACTGTCCATACCTCTTAATTTCACCATGCAATTACACTTTCCTCTTTCCTTAGTACTGTGTTTAATATACAACAGTCCAGCCCAACAAAAACATTACCAAGTTCATAGAGCTGAGTCTTTATTAAGATGCTAATACTTGCCCAGCTGGTCATAAAATATCTAATTTTTAAGGAACTGATGTTCATCACCATGTTTAGAAGAGAGATAAAATGCTCAAATGAAGAAATTAATTAAAAATTTCAACTATTCCAATAATAAGATCAAATTAAGTGTAAGAAAAACATAGCATTAAGCAAAAGTGGAGTTTCATAAATAATGAAAGTTTGTAGTTGTTTTACTATCCATAAGTTTTGCATGAATAAATAAACAATACAGTGACTCATTTCTGTTATGTAGATAATAGAATTCCTGCTTCATATTTGAAAGGTCACAGTTTTCATTACTGGCCCAGAGACCAGGTAGCAGAGTACATGATAGCAGCAGGTAGCTGAGAAGCCAAAGACCATTTTATGATTATCACCACATATGGAGTGACTGATCAAAATATTACACCCATATACTTCACTGTTTAATTGTGATCTACTTAATGACACTGTCAGGAGTTCATACTATAAAACTGAATAATAAGATAATAGTGAACAGGAAAGGATATGGAAGGGAGCAGTCACTGTCTAATTCAAGGTAATATTGTGGTATTTGCTGGGGGGGGGGGGGGGGGGGGGGGGCAGATAAAGATCGGAACGAGTCTATGAAATACATAACCTGCTTCATGAAGCTTGCTGTCGCACTTTTGCGTCAGCTCTTATTATGCAATCTCCCGTATCAAGTCGATAAGTTATTTGGATGACAGATATTTCTGGTTACACATTAATTTCAAGTAGCCATTAGACCGTGTAAGCTGTTGCGTGAGAAAAAACCTAACTAGGAAATGCACAAAATCCTGTCATGATTGCTAGTTTCTGGGCCAAGCACTGAACTTAGGAACTCCTGAATATGAAGCAGGGGAGAAAGCTACTCTGATCAGCCAATCAATACATGCATTTAATATTTTCTTTAAATAAATTTAAACTGCACACATGTATCAGAAATGTATATTTACCTTCTATACCCTGTAAATTGGTCAATAATGGCCAAATGTGATCACCCATATGACTTTTTAACATCTTTTATATGATACACGTCTACTGTGGTTTCATGGCAACGTCGCAAATCCATGTCAAAAAATCCTAATGAAAATTTACTCTCTGGAGCTTTGAAATAATCCAGTCCTCGGCCAATTTTTATTGTCCACCCATTGCTCAACCTACAAACAATAATCACTGCATCAGATGAAGTTACATAGAACATGACATGTATTATGCATGAAGGGCCTTTCCTCTGGAAAAATACATGCATTTACTATTTCAGTTAAGTGAGAATGAATACTATCTTCTCTAAATGGTCCAAGATCAAGTAAGTGATCTCTGTCCCTCAAATGTTCCTTTATATGTCACAAATTTAACTGATCTTTATATAATTAGTAAAACAGATAGAAAAGTGTTAGTACAATAGTTTTCCGTAGCATTCATGTGATTATGTAATTTACATTTGTATTAGAAACAAGTATTATATTATGCTCTGACAAATTCTACATCCTTGGTTTAGGCCTATGAAGGATCTATGGAATGTAAATAAATTTTATTATATTCTATCATAATATGTGGACAAATAGGCATCTTTCTCCCAACATACTGCTGTTTAGATTAAAGTAATCTCTGTATTTCAAACACCTCACAAAAAATATTTATTAACAGTACACATATTTATTAATTATGGTACTTTTGGGTGATGACAAATAATATTTCCTCTGAAAAGTACCGTACATGATGTTAGTCCACCTCAGAACATACTACAGAACACAAGGGAGCAATGTCATGACCACATGGTCATGATGAGTATTGTACTTTGCTAAAATAAAACTTGGATCTAGAATGGTAAATATTTGCAAGTGAACAAACTCACAGTAACACAAAACTGCACTGAGTAAAACTGGCAACCTACAAAAACATGGTATCAAAAGCAGAACACTTTGCTAATATTAAAGGACACCTGGTTTGAATGTGACACAGTGTACCAGCTATCCTGATTTGGATTTCTCATTGTTTTCCATAAGTGCTTCCAGACTAGGAAAGTATTGCTTCTAAACCAAAATAATAAGGTATTTCTTTATAAATTTAACATATTTATTATGAAATATGTCTTCACATCATCCATGATATCCTCTGCCACTGGGTGAGAGAAGTATAAACAGTGTGTTTGAATTTCCCACTGGAATATGAATGCAGGAAAAATGTATGTTCAAAACTGAATATAGTGAATTTTTAATGACATGACAAATCACATAACTGTGTTGCATCACATACCATTCCATAATCGAAAGAGTATATGTGGTGTTGCTTTCATTTTTGTTTTGTATCATGGTTATCAAAAAATAACACTCCAACACACTGAACATATGGTGTGGATGTCATGTATATGTTTGCTCTGAAAACTGTCACTGAGACTTGTTCAGTCTTACACACTGTATATTTCATTCCCCTATCCTAAGATAGAGAGTTACTGATGAACTTACTTGATTTGCCTGTCATGTAGGGTGGATGAAAACTCGATCATTAAATCAATTCTGTATCTCTGTAAATTCTGTTTCATAGTCTCAAGCCACTGTGTTTGATCTTTCACAGATCCATCTCTGCTTGTAAGGAGTCTTATTTTATTCAGGTTGCAACATGATTTCACCACAAGTTCACAGAATCTTAGAAAATTTTGACACTGAAATTATAAGAAATGTAAAATGCAAAAATGTCTAAAACATTTCCAATTATTATATTAATTAAATATTAGAAAATAAACTTGAATCAGGTAGAAAAGTCACATTTTGAAAATTAGTCATTAGACTGTGTCCTCATTTATAACATTCTAGCTAGAAAACTTCTTACAGTATGCCAATGTACCTCTTCAACCTTGAAATCTCCATTACTCAAGTAAAGTAAAGTTTGTCCCACTATACGCCATGTAGGCGTTTGGGGTGAGTGGAGGTATAGCTCCTCTCTTCCTTGACCTCGGCACTAGATGGGGGTGAGTGGTCAGCATCACGCCCCGGCCGGCTTTACCCCCGGGAAAGGACCCCGGTACCCATTGTAGAGGAGGCTGGGTGGGCCCCAGAGCCGGTCTGGACGCAGAGGGTAGAGGAAAAATCCTCTGCACCAGTCGGGGATCGAACCCCGGTCATCCAGCCCGTAGCTAGTCACTATACTGACTGAGCTATCCCGGCTCTCTCCATTACTCAATGACTTCCTAACAGACTTATTACCAAAAGCTGATTGTAAATGATGAACTGGGAAGAATGTGGAAGAACAGTCATTTCCTGTTATTAAACATATTATAACATCTACCTGGAGAGATGTAGAAAACCACAACAAACCTGAATCACAGGCTAAGAATTGAATACTGGACCTCATTAATGCAAAAAGAGAATAAACACTCAATCATGACTTTAGTTCAGATGAAGTGATGATAAATATGGTTAGTAAGTTTCTTGTCCAAAACTGACCCAGTAAACCTGATATTATTAAGAAGTTCATGCATGTATTATGTGCTTGGAATTCTGACCCTGGCAAGTTTATGAGAAAATCTTCTCTAATACTTTCTAGTACAAACATACTTCACAAACTACTCATATAAAATTTGTATATTGTTCAATATATACTGAACCATATCCACCAACAGTAATAACCACTACTTAGCATACTGTTTTACACCGTGAACATAGTAAGTCTTCTAACTGTATCACTTTCATACCTGATGAAAACTGCGAACATACGGATCTTCCACTTCTACAGATGTAACTTCATCATCAAGAAACCTGCCAAATAGATTCTTATAACTATGCCCAGTGGAATCATTCTCTATGAGAATTTGCTCATGATACTTTCCCATAGTTTTTTGTTCTTCAATCAATCCTTTTATTTTTTCTGCTCGACCCATGTAAGCTTCTACTTTTGTACGTAAATATTTCTTCTTTTCAGAATCTGTAACACCTTCAAAAAAAAATTCAGATGTTCACTTCATAAATTATTTACTACTGTCCTACTGACTCCATACTTTCGTTAAAATTACTTAATACAAGAAATGGAAAACTGACAAAAAAGAGATTTGTTTAGATAGAGTTCTGTCCAACACAAATCTACATGAGCTGACTGGGTCTTATATCTTCGAATGCTTGGTGAGTGATCTGTAATTACCAAAGTCCCAAATTTTTGTTAAATATAGCTTTCATATTGTTTCCAGGGTATGTCCTTGTACAACATATCTGAAACCTAACACTTTTAAGTTAATTTTCATACATACATCTTTATTACATTACATGGATCCATAAGTTAGTCAGATGACAACAGGATGTAGAATAAGTCATAATAATACAATACATGTTATACAAATACAAGTCATACTATTATATAAATGTCACAAATACAAACAAAGTGTTCACATAAAGTAGAGATAAGTTACAAATAAACCCACCCATTATATACAATAGATAAATTATGACTTAATTGTAAATATTACATCAGTTAAAGAAAGATACTTGGTATGGTATTCTGGATTCTACGATTGGAAAATATGTCAGAAAGAGAGAAAGTCCTAATACGAAGTTGTACATTATGTTTTATATATGAATGTCTAAAACAGTATTCAAAGCAACAAAGAAGGCATTTCAATGCTTTCTTAAAAATAAGATAAAATGTAAACATTTTTCCTTTCCATAAAATCAGATAATTTTTCAAAATAAATTAATGGTAGCAGACACCCACAGATTTCACTGTAATTTAAAGTCAACTGTGCATTTAGATATTCAACATGCAGTCAATTACAAATATCCAACTTTAACAGTTTCTAGAGGAATTGGTCCACATGATTTTGAAGGAAATTATATGCTGTTCCTTATTGTGATATGTATAATACTTACAGAATGTCTATGAAACAGCAAGTAGCTACAAACCTTTCATCAGATTAAAAAGCAGTTGAAGACCTTCACGGTAACACACTAAAGCTTCAGTATATCGCTTTTTATTGTCCAAATCAACACCATTCTGGAGAACAATCACAGCAGCTGCTTCAATGCCAGCATCTGTCATTATGGACAACTATTACACAGCCAAATAATATACAATATAAATTTCTAGTCTCAACCTGTAAACACAAACACACATAATGAATGATCTAGAAATTAAATCAATAGAATAGACTTGCTTTATGTACTCTGTAGATCCCAAGTTTAGAACACATCAGTGTACCAGAAAAAAAGTACCACAATAACAAATGCTTCACACATTTAAAAAAAATCATGATAAACTAGTGTCAGACACATGCTTATGTACAGCTAAACAAATTGAAACACTGAAATACACAAAAAATGTACAATCTGTATAGTCAAATTCTACAGCTGTAACTATATTAACCACCATATTGTCATACAAACAACGAAGTTACCAGATCGAATGGTATATTAATCATTACTTCGTCATATACAAATGCTATGTCAGGATCACCGTTTTCAAGAACCATGTTCCTACATCATGTATTAGAGTGAAAGAACACAATGTAAAATTCCTGAACGATACTGAAGGAAAACCAGTTTCCAACACCAATACATCTACACGGTCGAATTCATATGGTTTTTATCTTCATCACCTCGTTTTTTTTTTCAAATGAGGTTAAGGTTAGGTTATATAAGATGTCTCTGTATGTAATGGAACGTAAGGGCAAATGTATACACAATTTCAAAATTTACTTACACCTTTTACAAGAATACGTAAGAGCATTATCTATTCAACCTTTATCCAAGCAATAACATTTGCGTTAACCAGAATTTCCCTCAACCTCCATCGTTGATCGCTCTGCCATCTACTGCCATTTTCCCCTGTGTTTCCAGTTAATGGAGGCATTGTTGTCATATTTTGCTACGAAGCTCCTATGCATTCGAGTTATTTGTTATTATTTAGCAATGTTATCCTTCGGAAAGTTACAGGAAATTACACCCAGAGAGTAGAGATAACATATTTAAGGTAAGTAGTAACATAAGTGTACTTACATGGGCATTTAAGAATGTTTAAAAGTTGTAATGGCATTCATTGGAAGTGTGACCTTGCAACTTCACCCGTTTGTCATTTGTTTCTACAAATGGCTTCCTTTTGACTTTTGTAATTTACAGAAAATGAGATTTGTCCATGTATAGAGAAAATTGTAATACATACACTATATTTTGTGTTTGTAATGTAGAAATAGCGATAACCAGAAAATTATGCCACGTTCAAACCGTATTTCCCGTTGTAAATGGTTTTGACAAATAGATTGGATGTAGCCAGTTTCTTATACAGAAGACGAAGGATGCATGATTTAGCGGCCTTTATCTTTTTTTATTATTATTATTTTCTTCGACGAATAGGTTATATATGAATTAAAGATGTTGTATACATCATGTTTTAATTATTTCATGAAATTATTTACTCACATTGAAAACGTTTACAAATCCCTTTATGCCTCTGCAAGTCGGTACTAAACATCAAAAATTTGTTTTAAATATTCCAAAATAAGTTAGAAAAACTTGTTCTTGGACGAGATGTAGGCATTCGCATTACTATTAGTTATTATTTGTGCATTAATTATTGTAATGTAGGAGCAACTTGCAGAATTCTATTGTAATGTTTCAGAATGAACGAACTTCACTGAACGGAGAATTGTTTGGTCAGATAACTGACATGGATGACTCAGGGCGATCACAAGAACTCCTTGAGAGTGTGGAGATGGTAACTCAAATGCGAACAGATGTGGTGAAACTTAACACAACTGGTACAGTAAAAGGTGATGAGGATGACGAACCACCCCCAGAATTAATAAGTGCTCAATATATTAATATACATCGTGTGCCAGAAACTCTGAGCAAGGGGCTAGTGGACTGTAGATCACCAGCTCCTCAAACTTTAATGAGTGATGAATTGATGCAACACCATGTTGTGCATGGTGGTATGGTTGTTGACATGATGGTTCCTCCACCTCCACACCCTCAAGATTTCTCCCAACACACTCCTTTGGATCGTGCCACACTTCCACAATACATACCTGAACATTATGATGCAGAAGATGATCTCCTGACTCATGATTTAACAGAGGAAGATCGACGGTTGGCAGCAGCATTGGTTGCTGTTCAGCTGGTTCAACAACAAAAGCAACAACACCATTCAGTAGTAACTTCAGAGTCAAATGTGATTGTTAGTCCAGGGGGGTTGCCAGGTCTCATTACTGCTGCCGGCCACCTTGGAACTAAAGTCCAGGTACCTGTTTCTATAGGAGATCATCATCACATGACAACCATGACACCAATGTCACCAGTTACAGGTGTGTCAGTGGACAAACCCGCAATGGCTGCCATGGTGTCTAGCTATATACAAGCTGTGGAAGAAGAAGCAGCTGCTGCAGCTAATACTGCACAACAGCATATCTTAGAGCACCATCAAGGAGACAGAATCATGAAGATGTATCAGCCACAACATCAGCAACAAGAAATGAGGTTACCACCCTTGCCCCCTCTGAAGAAAGTGCTTTCAAGTCAATCCATGGCTATCAGAAGCCGCTATGTTCGACCACACCTTCAAGATGTAACACAACGGCAGGATGTGATTCAACAAGGAACGGGGGAACTGGTAAATCGGTTGCAACAGCCTCAAGAGGAACAACAGCAGACTGTGTTAATAGATGAAGTGTCTGGGACTACTGTAGAAGATGATGATGTTCTGAAGGAAGAGTATGATGTGAAAAGTGAGGGTTTAGAAGATGATTTGGGTGATGAAAGTGATGAACCTCTTCAAGATGATAATGATTCTGACTATGATATTGAAAGTGACTTAAGACCTTCTAGGAGAAGTCTCCCACATAAAAAACGTATTCCGCGTAAGCTAAAAAATCTAAAAAATTTGGCCTCTCCTGCCAGAAGCATTCACACCAAAGGTTATAAATGTGTGAAGTGTGGGGAACAGTTTAGCAGCCAGTCTGCATGTGCTACACACCGTCTTACTCACAGCACCAATAAGAAGGTGTTTAGTTGTGAACTGTGTGGAAAATCTTTTGCCAATCAACTCAAATTCTTTGAACATCTGAAATCCCATTATGAGCCTACAGTATCTACTGTGATTTCAGAACCAAGTCCAATATCTAATCCCAGTAACAATAAAGAAAAAATTACACCTATGAAAGAAGAATCTGAGGTGAAGGAAGAGAGAGAAAACAAACAGCCTACGGCAGCTTCAACTATAGGGGCAATTCCACCTCCTCTTACTTGTAATCAGTGTGGCAAAACTTTCCGACGCCAGAAAGCCTTTGAAACTCATGTAAATCTAGCTCACCCAAAACAAGAGGAGATTGAAGAGTTCAGTGAACCTGAGGATTTAATGGAAGGCATCAGAGGAGTTGTTGATGTTGGAGGTGTGGATACTGGTGATGAAGCAGATATGGAATGTATCCCATCACCTCAAATTGTCAGGGGTCTAAAAAATAACAACGAGAAGGAATGGTATCGTGAGGAGGATTTACATGCAGCAGAAGCTGATCTTCAAGAAATAGAAGAGCAGCATCATCATCAGCAACAGCAACACCATCATCCTCATATCAATCACCAAAATCTAGATGAACCTGACAACATTTGTGAGTTGTGTGGTGATGTATATGAGACCAAATCACAGTTGGAGCAGCATGTTCAAACAGATCACTTGGACTTTACACCAGAACCAAGAGGTAGGGGTGAAATTTTATCCCCAAAGAGACGATTGCCTGGAAAAAGATCCCGGAGAGCAGGACTTCATCTCATATGTCCTCAGTGTGGTCGAATGTTTAATCACCGTAACTCCCTTGTTTATCATCTTCGAAGTCATTCTGGTGAACGTCCACATCAGTGTGAAGTATGTGGAAAAAGCTTTTTTGCAGCAAGTGCACTAAAAGTAAGTTGTCTATACATAGATTATTCAGTGCAGTGTTTATTTGTGATGAGAATAATATATAGTCTCTTCATCAATGGCTGTCACAGTTGAATTCTGTCTTAAGATTATACCTCCAAAAGCCAAAGAAATAAGTCACTTCTGTCTTATTAATGTCTTTCAATTCTAAAATTATACCAACTTTATGAAGCAGAGTCCTTCTTGAGAAGCTACTGATGGGACTAGATTATTTGAGGTCTTGGCACAGGGTGAACTGCAAGGTGATACACACTGTGTGCACTCCTCCACACTTTTCCTATCCTTTTCAAAAACACTGCCTTGTATTCTGGGTTTTTGCACCATTTAATGTGGAAGAAGTTTAGCAACATTTGAGAGTTGCTTGCTGCCTCTATCATCAGGTCACTCATTGCCCTGATGATGGACAATAGACAGTACAGTGACAGTAGAATCAGTCTTTTTAAACAGCTGTCATCCTACCTGGCCGTTATATGCACCAACCAGGCTATGTTGACTGCACCTATCTACAGCTCTATGGAAGTAAGCTAGCAAGTAATTTGGCCCAAGCAATAATGTTACATTTAATTAACCAATACATTCCCCACTTTTATGGAACTGGAAAATTCATTAATGTGTTCACATGATCCCACCACTGGACACTGTCCTGTGCCAGATGAATCCAATCCATATCCCCAAACCATAGTTCTCTAAGATCCATTTTAATATTATCCTCCCATCTATACTTACATCTTCCAAGTAGTCTTTTCTCTTCAGGCTTTCTAACATTAAGACTTCTACAATGTCCAATACCAAAATAAAAATTTAGATTGTTTTGTTTCTGTTTGTAATTCATTTGTTTATGAGTAATTAACCATTTTCTGTAGTTTGGTGGTAATCGTTTAACAAAAAAATATTTCAGTATTCTCATTTTTAATAGATTAGTTAAGGAACTTATATCCAGAAGGAGTGTATCTTTATTTACATGTGAACAATATATAATATGTCCTGGCAAAAGCCAGTGGTTATCTAGCCTACAACAGCCTTGTAGTCTCTGCCCAATAAAGAGAATGGTAAGGTTGCACAACAACATGTTCTGTCATGTGTGTACAGTGTGTGAATGTTGCAGGTACATATGCGTCTGCACTCTGGTGATAAACCCTACAAATGTGAGTTTTGTGGCCGACACTTTCGTCAGTGGGGTGACCTTAAGTATCACTGTATCTCAATTCATTCAGAGGAGAAAAACTATCAGTGTGAATATTGTGGAAAGGATTTTGCTCGCAAGTACTCGCTCATAGTTCATCGTCGCATCCATACTGGAGAGAAGAACTATAAATGTGAGTTTTGTGCCAAGAGCTTCCGTGCCTCATCCTATCTCCAGAACCACCGTAGGATACATACAGGTATGTGTTTCCTTTCAGGCACTGGTATACAGCAATATCTTTATGATGGAGAATGAAGGCTTAAAAAGCTCATTGTTACAAATGGTAAGGAGTCCTTTTTTTTAGTTTACATACTTTAGTATCTACTTACATTATTCCTGTTATGTGTTTAGTACCCAGTTATATGTTGAAGCCACAACTGATAAAAATAAATTTAATCCATTAGATAATATGGCTTTAGGTAGTTGAGGAAATGATGACTTGCATTTACTACATGTTTTCATGCTGATGAAGGATTCAAGGAAACATACAAAAATGAAATTAGCTCTAAACTGAATTAGTTTTGTCAGCTGTATTGTGATGGCTTGTACTATGGCACATGGTGTTACAAAGTAACATTTAAATTTAATTTATTAGTTACCTTAAGAAGTGTTACAGACATAAGGCACCCAATATCCCACTTGACTTCCAGGTGAAAAGCCGCATCCCTGTGAAGTCTGTGGAAAACCTTTTCGTGTCCGTTCTGACATGAAGCGCCATCTCAATACACACAACCGTGATAGGCATCGTGGAAGTAATGGCAGTTCTGTTACCACATCATCCGGTAGTGGGAGTGATATCCATCAAAACTTACTTCATGGTCAACCAAAACTGGAAGAGCATGACCCGGAATTGGATCCAGATCAGTTGGATGCTCATGGCAGCCTTCCTCCCAACCACACAATTACTGTGGAACACCAAAGCATCTCTGATTTGAATCCTGTCACAGAAATCACCATCCAACAAGAAAGTGGTGGACCAGAGAGCATCTTACCAGATGAAAGTCTGGGAGATCCAATTGTTGAGCAGCAACCCATCAACCTCAATATTGCAGTGCCAGCTGTTGCAACAAGACAGTCCCATACTCATCATCAACTGTCAGCAGCTGCGCAGGCAGTCTCTGAAGAAGTACTGCATTACACACGGGACCCATTAGAAACTATACGAGATGGAAGTAGTACTCTTTATGTGTGGCCAATCTACATGACATAGCTTCTGTGTTTCTGGTGAACACCAATGGTTGTATTAAAAATGAAGTTTATACATATTTGCATAATTGTTATAAAGTATTTTCTACGTACAGTCTATAATCCCATTAATTTGGTGCCAATCATTTTGGGATAGACTGACATCTCTCTTTTAAGAGGGGGAAGGAGAGACAAGTGAGGATTATCCAAGGCAATAATCAATTATTAAACCCCTTAGTTCCATTTTATCTCTGTACTATTAACTCTGCAGCATTTTATTAGTCAATCTTTAACAGTAAGTATCTATTCTGTGTTGTGAATCTATTTAACTATAATTTGTTTGCATGAAATGTCTTTACTTTTGTATACCCCGAAGTGCAGTCTTCCTTCATTCCCGGAATAAGTAGTAAAATTTCACTTTTGTTCATTTTGAGTTTAATACTCTGTATAATCTAATAAAATTTGATATGGTGAACATTTAAATATATTATGTCAATTGAAATTGAACATATCTCTTTTGATTTACAGATACATGGCATAATTTGTATTCATCATTTATTATATTGTGTGCGGGTTGTATCGCCACCTTCTTTATTAAGTCACAGAGGATTATTTAGTAATTAATTTCATTCAATATATGTACTATAACTACTGCGGAATGTACATAATATTTTTACTTGCAGAAACTAGTTTATCACATCACATGTATTAATATTACTGAAGTACAATTACCAAAAGATGATTAATCCACCTTTTGGTGTGGGCTACGAACTGTATTTGGTATAGCCAACAGCTGTTTAGTTCATACTGTAGTATGTAGCTTTTCTGCTTGCAGATAATACAAGTTGTGATGTATTAAATTCATTCTTTGTATATTTGAGACTGATATTGGTAGTTCCCATTGTTTAATGGCAATGAATATTGAGTGCTATCTGCCTATTTTTATTATTGCAACAATGAATTTAAGAAAGTTTGCAATAATTAAGTTTTAAAGACATTGCAGTTTTTTTCTCTTTCTCAAATGGATGGCCTTAACATATTTTATATCCTGGAATATAAAGTTTTGTATGTAAAAAGTGTTGCAGTTATCAAGTCACTGGACTGAAATATATAGGATCATTCATATGCATTAGTTATCAAAGCTCGAATAGATGTGACTGAGAAATTAATGCTGACTCACTGTTTTTCCAGGATAAGTGCCATCACCTCTTAACTGAATGTCTGAAGATAGGGTTGTGCAAACACCTGAAAATTGGTGCATTTTTAGGAGCATAATTGTCCTGATTCAGAGTCCATGTTTTGTCACAGAGGAATTATAACTAGCACAAATGAAATGTCCAGCCTTTGTTACCTAATGGAAAATATGAAATAATTTTGGGCATTGTTAGAATGTTGGTAAGGTAGGAATGAGCATGCAGGATGGGGGGCCAAAGTAATAATAGTAATAACAGAAAAGCATTAAGGGAAATAGGACTTTTTATGCTTAGTAGTTTTCAGATTCTGGGAGCACAATATGTGGTACTGCAGGTGCTCATTCTTATATGACCTAATTGTTATGATGGCTGTGTATTCAATATCTTATGCTTCTACATGCAGTGTTGTTTCATTCCAAGTTGCTGTGTCACATGTGGTATCAAGTATTAAGTTCTGTTAATGAATGCAGAGAAAGCATGCCACCCCTACCAACGGAAGCTTCCTATAAATTGCATTTACTGGTAGCTTGTATAAATTAGTAAAGTGAGTGGCTATATATGCTGGACAATCAGTTTTACTCCTGCTACAGACAGGAACTTTTCTTTTTGCTGCCATGGGACCTACCAACCTCCTATCTGGTTGGTGCCAGGAGCTGTTTCTCAAGGATAAAGTAGGTGGTACACGAAGCTGATAAATTTAAATTGGTAATTAATCAAATGATCTATCTAATAATTATGGAAAGAATCAGCAATTTGTTCTTTCCATTCTATTATTTTTATAATTGTGAATTCTAAGTACAGACAAAATAAATTCTGCTTTGTGAAAGACCAGGATAATTTATTGTCAGAATCACTGATGTCCAATCATTGAGACCTATATTAAATTAGCATATGATGATGTATGTCTAATTTGTTAACTCTTGGTCATTTACATGACGTTACAATCAAATGCTACTTGCTTTACCACATATTGTATTCTCCTGAATTTAAATTAAAAATGTGTATAAATTTTGCATCAAATATTTTGAAAAGAAACCATAGGAATGAAATCATATTAGATAAATGAAAATCCAGTATGCAGGATTTGAGGTTTTCACGGTGGTGAGTCTGAAGATGGCTGTTGTCTGAGTTGCTGTGTCATGCAGTCTGGAAGACGGCCATCTTTGAAACTCCAGTAATTGAACACTTCATCATAATATGAGCTGCTGAAATATTGGAACCCACTGAAAACATGATGTAGCTAATGATCGAAACCCAAGAATTGTTAACACTATTGGTTCACAGAATAGGGAATGTTGTCCTCTTGTGATATACTGATACATTTTAGTTACTGGTACTTTTTCCACAGTATGATATGTAAAAAATATTTTAATATGTTCACTCTGCATTCTCCTTGTAATCTTGTGTGATTTCAATGTGTCTCATGTTTACATCTAGAATGGACAAATATCTGGATTTAATAATCTGATGATTATGATATAGACATTGTTGGGTGCAACATTAATAATAGTGAAACTTCTAAATATTAGCGCTTAAAAACAGTTTGCACATCCATGAGAGTGAATAGTGTAAGAAAAGTAGAATGTTTCAGACGTACTGTTCATTTGTGGCATTCAACTTAACCTGCATTGTAAGGCAGCTGTTTAATTGGTAAATTGCTCAGTGGTAGTGGTTATTTCCTTGTTTTGTGACAGAAATGCACATATGAAAATAGAATGTGTCATAATAATGGTTGACACTACTGTTGTCTGGTTTCAGGGGTTAGATATATAATAGCATGAGAACCATGAATGCATGACATATGGCAAAGAAAAGTTCTATCTTCTGTCAGAAGATATTATTTTCAGAATGTGAATAGTAGTATTAACTTTCATTCTCTTTATTTATCAGTGGCTATCTTATGTTATGTTGAACTAGTGAACAGCATAGATATACCAGTTGTGATGAGAGCTTAAGAACAGTTAAAATACCTACAGATACCCACATTAGGAAGCTAAATTACAACTTTCACTAGTGCTGTCATTTATATCAATGGCAATCTTGAATGCCTGAGTAAGAGAAAAGAAGTGATGTAGTGTAATAATTTCAAAATAAGCTAAAGTATTTATAAGATTGAACCTTTGACCATACTCATTTACACGGGATATGAATCTGAGAGTTCCCAACAGACCACTGGTTTTTATTACTGTTAAATCAATACTTATAGGTATTGTGAAATTAAATTTTTTGAACTGGTGTTTCGGTGAATAGTGATTATAATATCTGTAAATAGCTGCACATATAAATCTGTTTAAAAAAATTTTATACTTATATATGTTGGTATAATGTTAAATGGATACTGTTGTTATAGATCAGGATGAAGGGAGTGAGCTATTTATAGGAAATAGCATTATTGCTGATTTGATAATGAATCTGGGATTTAGTGAGACCATCTTCCAGGTAGAGATGGTAACTACTGACCATTAAGTTTTTGGGAAGGATGTTTGTTTATAACTGACTGAAGCAGATAAACTATTACAGACATGAGTCTTTCATTTCACTTGAATCAAAATGAAGGGAACAATCCCAATATTATATGAGTGACAAAACTTACTGAAGATGACTATCATTTGGGATTTCTGATCATTGCCCTGATGATGAAGGCAGTAAGTACTTCTGAAATGTCAGCCAGTTTCTGCCAGGCTACATAGCACAACGTCTCAGAAGACAGCTATCTTCTTACTCACCATTGTGAGAACCTGAAATTTCACAAAACCTGCTGTTTTATCTTATTTTCAGAACATTAGATTGATATGTATAAACTGATGGTTTCACCAGTTGCTTTGAATGCTTGTTATATAAGATCTACTCTGAGAATGTTACATAAATTGCAAGCATTTTAAAGCAAGTTGTGCAGGAAAAAATATAAACATAAGAGAGATATAATGAGTTAGGAATGGATGATATATAATGAGAAAGAATATGATTTGTACATTCCTTATATTGCTAGGGTACTTAAATCAAAGAAGTTATGATGGACTTGATATGTAACTGAAATGAGAAAACAACAATACAATGCTAATGGTAAAACTTCTTTAACAATGCCACTTGGAAGACCAAGGAGGAAAGAGGATAATATTAAAATGGATCCTATGGAAATATGTTGTGAAGATGTGGACTGGATTAAACAACTTCGAATTATACCCAATGGCAAGCTTTAGTATTATTCATGTTGAACATTTTGGTTCTGTTCCCAGAGAATTGTATGTACAACAAGGAACATTAAATTTAGTTTTTTTTTTAAAGACTGTTATGGTAGACAGCCATAAGTCTGCATATAAAGTTGTAAGTTATTGTCTCAATTGTTCTGGAGAATGAAGGACTAAGCATTGCACATCCTGTGTGGGCAGTATATATAGCAACACTACTATAATGAAAAATCTTAGAAT